CAAAGGATCTGTTTTATCGTCCTCAGATGTTAGACAGATTATCACAGAGTATGTAAAAAAGAATGAGCTTAATACAAGTGTAAAGAATTCTGTCACTTTAGATGCCATGATGATTGATATAATGTATGGAAAAAATCAACATGATAATGTTTTAACTTGGGATGTTCTATTAAAAAGGTATGTATGTATAAAAAATTTTATTTTATAGTTCCAAATTAAATATATTGCCAATGTTTAAATTTCATTGGTTGAATTTATTAAACTAAACAAAAAGGAACGTTCTTTAAGTCAACTAAAGTCTTTTCTTTGAGAGCCATCTGACTGTCATAGAAATAGTTTACTTAAGTTAACTTAAGTAATAACGGTAACTTAGAAGAACTAGTAACCTAATTAACATAATTACTATTAAGTAAATTTTTCGAATATTTGTATTCCAATCATACCTGATGGCTATTATAGAATAATTTTGCTAGAATTGGTTTTGATTTTGATTTAGTCGTTTGGTTTTGCTAATCATGTGCTATCCAGAATTGAAAAAGTTCAATCAGCTATTTATTTGTAAATAAATGTTTATCCTTAATTTTTTCTCATATTTTTTTGGTGTTATTTTTCTGAAAGTTTTGTAATGAAAAGTTCACTGAAAGTGGAATTCATCTTGAGGTACAAGGTGAATTTCATGGCAACAGCTATATCAGTAATACACCCAAAGATGATATGATATCTTATATCATTGTTTAAGTTGAAGCCAAAATCATTTACCTTTTCAATAACAATATTAACTTCTCTTTCTGAAGGCATTGAACCATTTATTCTATTTAAGACCATAATAAAATTTGTCTGAACAATATACATTGAGATGTACCTTCTAGTTCCGCCTGAAGTCTACTCATCAAGTGAAATTGAAAACCATTTTCCAGTTATTTTTTTTGCTGAAGCTCATAAGCAATTTTTAATTTTATTGAATTTTCATAGTTCATAACAGTTTTCTTTAGAGCATGTCAATCATCGGGGATTTTAAGTCCTTGAGGTTTCCAGACATTTTTAATATCTTTAGTATTGGCCAAAGTTGCAAAAGAAATACAGCTGTTAAACGAGCTAATACTTTCTTAGATTTGTTTTTTGTTTTATTACAGGAACAATAACACTTGGCTGTGTATTTTTTGTCTTTTCTGAAACAATTTTGTTTTAGAAAAATTTCGTCTGTTGTTAAATAAATGAAGTACTAATTTAGTATTAATTAATTTAGAATTATTATCACAGTAAAATGTAATAAATATAAACAGGAATAATAAACAATTTTTGAGGGTAGTAAGAGTCATTTATTGTTGTGCTAATGAAAAATTGTTATTGTGGAATGTAAATGTGATGCATAGAAGGTGTCAGTGATGACGCAGAGTTATTTGTTTTATAAGAAGTTACCATGTGGTCTGTTTTATTAGCAAGGTAAACATGCATTAAAGATATATGTTTCATGAATGTCTCAAGGATGGTATAGATTCATGCCTAATGGTTAAGTATGAACAAAAGAAAACCCCCAGCTTTCATCTAAGACTGGTATCCCACAAGAGGATCCACTTTAAGTGTACACCAGGGTTTTTGTTAGAGTATCCCTTTTTGTTATCCCAAAAGGACTTTTCTCAAGGTATTTCATCAGGACGATTGCTACAGACCTTTGTATTGACACTGAGACTAGAGGATACGTTATGGTGTTCAGTACATCTTGCATACAATTATAGGTGGTTTTTTCACATGGGTGACAGTAAGTGAACTGATTTGATTTGATTTATAAAATTATTTACAATATTACAATATTATTTTACACATTTTACACATTACATAACTAGAGTTTTATGTTTTAATTATAGATTTAATTTATGTGAATAGAGTATCACCATGTATCACCATGTAGGCATAAATCAACAAGTATAAATTCTAAAAATAATATCGTAGATCCTAGAATGATAAGCACAAGAGTAGTAGATGATTAAAATATAGGTATTTTATTATCCAATTATCCATGTAGTGTCAAGATAAAATTCTTATCAGGACAATTAATTGTCATCAGGGAGTTTCAAAGGTCTGGTGCTTCAACAATGGTTGACAATGTTGGGACACTACTCTGCCAAAATAGTGCCCGTGCTCAAATTTGTAGTACACCAGTATTTTATAATGGGATGATGTACTTTGATCATAGTTTGTTCATTTCATACTTGAGCCTGAAAAGGGTCCTAGTGTATCTACATGTAAATGTCAATATTAATATTTACATAGATATCATATCGCATATATTATGTAACTCAGACATATAAATGAGTTGATAATCATATGATTCATATTTAAAATTTATATATTGTAACTATAGTTAAAATAAAGCGAAGTTAAAGTTAAGAAAGAAGGTTATAAATAGCTTAGTAAAAAACAGATTCTAACTTTCTAACTTTTTTAACTAGATTTCCAACTTTTAATTCTATAAATACTATAAATTCTATAGCCTCTTAAAAATAAATATTTTGATACATAAACATAGCCTGTAAATATAATTAAGAAAAAAGGAAAGTAAAGTAATAAATAATATGTGTGCTTACTATTTTAAAAGCAAATAATAATGTAACTCTATTCTTTGTTTTCTAGTAACTCCCAATTTAATAGTGGCTGCTTGCAGCCTTGTTGGAAGTGAAACTGATTATGAACCTAGTGAAGCTGGGTTAAAAAAGTAAACCTATTGCTAGCGCAGTATGGATTGTATAAAAAGTGTTATGATACTTTCAATAAAAAAGGGGTTGGGCTCTGCCACAGACACTAAAAACTTCAAAAATTATAAACCAGTTTCTAATTTATTATTCATTAGCAAGCTAATAGAAAGAGTAGTTTCCAATCTTTTTTTCATCATTATTATTATTCTGATTCACTCTCAACTAGGCTTCAAGCAACCACTTCAAGCAACTAGGCTTCAAGCAACCACTATTAAGTTGGGAGTTATTAAAAAAAAAAGAATAAAAATTATTATTAAAAAAAAAAGAAGAGTTAAAGAGCAAGGAAACGGTTGACAAAAGACTTAAAAAGTTGAAGGTTGTATGAGTCAGGATGCTTTCATGAAATTATCCTGGTTTCCACATGACAACAAACAATCTTCATATAGATTATCAATATGGATTCAAAAAAACATCTTTTGACTGAAACACTGTTACTTAAGTCTACCAGTGATATATTTGAACTCTCTTAATAATTATACACCTTCAGTACTAATTTACTTGATCTAAGTGCGGTCTTTGACACAATTGATCAGCAAAAACTACTTTGACTATGAAGTAATTATAATTGATTCAGCTCATGAGTGGTTTGTATCATTTTTGATTAACTGTGCCTGGTATTTTTCTTTAAACATATATTCATTTATGTACTTTAAATGACCAAGTATTTAGTATTTTGCAATGGGCAAAACTTGTTACTTTATAGTTACAATGTTGTAAAGGGTTAGGACGGGGCCAAAAACAATCAAAAATTGTGTGATGTTGTTTATGGACAACCATTTATGATGCTTTTTTTGTTCTTATTTGTTAAAACTGTTTTCAATACTTGCTGGTAAATAATTAGGGAAAAACTGAAAAAAAAATTATTGTCTCCATTAAAAGCAGACAAATTTTTTACAGGGTTTGCAACTGCAGCTTTTAACATTGTATTTTTGTAATTAATTTATATTGCAATTTAAAGTAAAAACAATTTTCAATTAAAAGCTAAGAATTTAATGATGGTAATGAAAATTTAATGATCATGTTGCTTAGAATTATAATGATTGTACTATATTTTTTAGAATGCTTGATAATATGAATCCTTGTCATGAAGTCACCATACCTGGTCAAAAATCTGTCGTTCGGTATGTAACAGATTTTAAAACATTTTTAATTTATTTTTTTGTTTAATTTTAGTTTTTAGTTTTTTTTTTAGTATTATTTTCATATATAAAACATTGATATGACTTTACTCTGTTTATTTATAAGGTACTAAACTAAAGGCTTTCATGCTTTCTATTATTGCATAACTACAGTCTTTTATATTTACTAATAAAGTCCTTTTTATTTAAAAAATAAGCTATAATTTATTTTATAATTAGGGGTGCATTGATGCATCGGCATCAACCTTTATAACCATCGTCCAATGCCAGTTGTTTTTAAACTTTTAGGATTTTATTTTTATTTCTGTGTTTCTATATTATATTCAAACATAGAATTACGCCATAAACATAAATACAATGTATAAGCCTAATTTATTAATAATATGTTATTATATAGACATATGCAACCACTAAACTGAAATTTTTTGAACTTTTAAGAAGGCTCCCTATTTTTCTATTGTTTATATAATTTAATACATTAATTATATAACTTATAGATCTGAAACTCTACAATGAAGTTTAAAATCAAGAAAAACACATTTAAAAAATATAAACATAAAGTAAAAATATTTAAAACATGAATGAACAACTTGTGTCATGTTAAAAAAAAAATATAAGTTTTTATAGTGTTATGAAAAGTAATAAAATATGTTATATACAACTGTGAATCTATTTTTTTTTGTTTCTATTTCTATAAAAAATTTCCAATTCGCATGCACAAAAGCTAGATATTCTCCATGTTCTGCAGTTAATTGGGACCGCAGGGACCGTGTTGCAGGGACCTGCAGGGACCGTGTTGATTCATAAATATTTCCCCAGTACTAAACAATCTTTTGCTGAACATAGAAGAAGGCAGAGCTCCTAAATATTTTTTAGGTATGAGAGGTCTAAAATATTATTGCTACTAGAGTGTTTCTTTATACATGTATTTTTGTAATTTCCCCACCATTTATATGGACATTCTTTTTGATGCGCATTAGGCAGTGATAAGTAAAAGTTTATTTAAGTTCTAAAAGAAAAGTAAGTATATAAAAAATATAATAACTAAACTTTAATGTAATTTTTATTTTAATTATTTAATGTAAACTAGTTTTTATTATTAAAAGTTATTAAATATTATTGAATATTAGTAATATTATTTTATTTCTATAACTATAATTTAAATAACAGTTTATAATGATTTAGAATTTAGTTTTATCTATAATAATTTATTATAAATCAGACAAGAACAAAAAGTTATCAAAGTTTATAATTGTTATTTAAAAAAATCATATTAATTTACATTTTTTCCTTTTTCTTTAAATAAATTTGTGCTTCTGCTAAAAGTTTTTTACAGTTCTTTACTTATGTTGATTTGTTAATTCAATGTCAAGGCGTGCTTTTGAAACTTGATAAAAATTGTATATGTTTTTTGCCATTTTTTAATTTTCCGATTGGAGAGCTAGGACCTTGGGTTGATTCAGATAAAGTGCTTTTTTCATTATCTGATTGAGTTAAGTTGTCAGTAGTTAAAAGGCAATCTGTTTTGTTTAGGTTCATGTATTGCTCTTGAATATTTGATTTTATAATGTGTTTCTCCACATCTGATATGACATAACTAAGTTTGAATCTTGGATCTATAACTGTAGACATTTTCAAATTTTTGTTATATTTTTAGCTGGAAAACCTTGAGATAAAATCTTTTTTCAACTCTTCTATTATAGTTTTTATTTCACCTGCATTTTCTGAAGCATAGGCTAGGTACTCTTCCATGAAACTATAAATGGAATAAGTTGAGACACTGATGCCCTATTTTCACTCAATTCTAATGTAGCCGCCTCAAAATGCTTTAAAACTAAGATAAGTGTCTCAGCTAATAACCATTGGTCTTCATTAGGATTAAAGGCATTGCACTTTTGATTTCTAATAAAATATAATGTTAGTAAGGTTTTTTTGTTCAATTAACCTTTCTAGCATGTAAAATGTTGAGTTCCATCTTGTTACTACATCTTGTATAAGTGAATGTTGGAGTAACTTTAGCTGTTGTTGAATTTCATATAGCATGTCCATGGAAGACGAAGAATGATGAAAGTGTGTGACTTTTTCTAAACTTAGCTATAAGAGCATTTACAATTGTTTGCTGTTTGAAAAGCGTATCGGTTATACTAAGCTGAAGTGTTCTTTTGACTAATTTCATATTAGCAGCATTGTCAGAGAGGACAAAGTACACTTTGTTAGTTAGTATTTTCCATTCATTTAAAGAGTCTTAGAAACTTTGATACCTTTACACCTTTATGAAAGCCTGTTATTTTTTTAAGTTTAAGCATAGCTGTCAAAGAATCAAACTCTGAGTTTATCCAGTGTGCTGTTAAAGAATAAAAACTTAGATCATTGTGATGTGTAGTCCATCTGTCAGTGGTTAAACTTAAAAAATCTGCTTTTGCTACATCATTCATAATTTGTATTTTCATTTTTTCACAATTTAAAGGAACAACTGTTTTAGTCATATGTTTTCTAGAGGGCATGTTATACCTTGGTTCAAGATGCATATTTAGTTTGTTAAATCCTTGATCTGTAACTAAAGAATATGGCTGAATGTCTACACATATCATTTCTCTGATAAGCATAGTTATTTTTTGAGCTCTTTGTTCACGTGAACTCCATTACCTACGCTTATTAATAATTTCTTTTTATTTTGCAAAATTTACATATTGCTTTTGAGCAATTATTTTCATAAATATCAAAATAGTCCCAGGTTGGACTTTTCGTTTCTTTACTCATTGTTTCTTTATTTCTAATTTAATTTTAAGTCTTTAAATTTAATTCTATTTTAAAAAATATATAGTTTAGAAACTTTACAAATACAACTTATTTTTGTAATATTTGTTTAATGAGATGCCTTGTAATAAATGTTTAACAACTTGAAGAAACAAACACCAAAACTGGAACATGAATAAGGCTGTTGTAAAAAGAAACAAGTTGAGCAAGTTGAGGGCATGTTGGGGATTGAACTCGAATCTTCTTGCTTATAAAGGGAGCGCTCTACCACTACTGCAGTGATAAATATTTTTTACTTTTAAATTTATTTTTAGAAAAGGAAACCTTGAATATGTTGAAGTAATGGTTGAACAAAGAATGGGTAATAAAAAAGTAAACAGTTTTTCAGTTATTTATATTTAATATATATATATATATATATATATATATATATATATATATATATATATATATATATATATATATATATATATATATATATTTGTTTTATCTTCATATAGTTTTATGAACATTATTTTCAAAATTTATATAAATGTTAGAGTATACATACATATAGGAGCAAGTCTGATGATGACTGAAATAGGGAGATGTATTCAATACATATGTTGAGTATAAAGAAAGAAAATTCAGGGAAATTTGTTGTTAAAAGATTTTTTAAGATAAACAATAAGTTTATGACATTCAACAATTTTTTGTCAGCATCAGATTGCTACCAAATTTTCAACACAAAGTTTTACCATAACTAATAATATAGAAATAAGGGTTTTCTATGTCAATTAGGTATAAAACTGCCGTTCTTAGACATTTTTATGTAGACGGTTAGGTAGTGATGTATATGGCAATGTTTTTTTAAAATAATAACAGGTGATATACTTTTTATAAAAGGCACTATGTCACATTTTGATTTGCAGCCACAGGCACCAAGTGAACTTAAAGCTCTATATCTCTATGTGTGTTGCTATTATTACTGAATTGTCTGGATATAGTGCACTCTGTTGTTACATGGTGTTTTATTGTTGTGTCATGAACATTGAGTTTAAGATTTTGTTGTCATTGCAATATTCGGCATAAAAGTATGTTCAGTTGGATCAAAGTTTAAAGTAATTAAATATGATAACTTCAAAATGTATCAAGTTACATGTATTAGCTTTAAAAGAAAACAAAAACATTGATGCAGTTAAATAATCTTTATTTCATTGATTCACTGGTAAGAGTAATTTGGTAAGAGTAGTCTTAATTTCATTAAATTTAGATAAAATCTTGGGTTACTTGAGGCTATAAGAAACATTGTAACTTTTTTCTGCAGAAATGTGTGAAAAATAAATCAAACACAATAACTATTATTTACTCTTTACAGTTTTCTTCAAAGTCAATGATAAACAACAAGCTTATTGGAATAGATAATAATTCAAATGTAGAGGAATTTAGTTATTGAGCTTTATTAGAGAAAGATTTGTATTTTTTAGGTGCTGAAAATAGTAACCTTTCGATTGCTTTTTATATATATATATATATATATATATATATATAAGAGTGTATTTAAGCAACAGTCAATGTATGTAAAATGTATAAATAAATCAGTGCAACAGCCTGGTAAGTAAATGGTAAGTAATGTTTTAGGAACTCAGATCAATTATTGTGCAATTTTTAAAAATAAAAATCACATTATGTAACATATTTTGTTATTATATTACAGAAATGAAAATAAAATCCAGAAAATTTATTATTTGATGAGGCTTGATTGTTTTTTTACTGGACATCTTTTGTATGAGTACTTTTAAGTGAAATATACAAAATCAACAGAATGCTTAGATATTTTAACTATTCATATTCTAATATTTGTTCTGATTCCAAATGATAGCACATTTGCAAAACTTTAGGCAATCTTCAACAGCATCATTAACAAAGGTTACCTAACATTCTATTAATCATATGTGGGACTGATCTTATTATCTCTCTCAAGGATAAGGCAGAACTATTTGCAAAGAACTTTTTTTCTAATTTGACTTTTGACTAATTTAAATCCTATGACCAGGCTGGCCCTACCATTTCAGTTAAACAGGATAACCTTTTTTTAGACATCTAAATCATTCAGTCTTTCATTGCTAAAGTCATTTCTGAATTAAAATCTTATATAACTTGAGGTCCAGACAACATACCTGTCATAGTCTTGCTATGACAGGTATTTTGTCTTTATTTGCTGTAAATTTAAACTCTAACCAAACTCAGTTATTTACTGCAAACAACTACCACAATATTGTGAACATTCCTATAATAATGATTGGCAACCTTGTTTCTGAGTCTTCTTCTTTATGTCTTCTTGGAGTATCATTTACTACTGACCTTTTATGGAAACAATATATACAATCGATTGCAATTATTATTAATAAATAACATTCTTACCAGATATGATTAGCATTCGCTAAGGTTGCAAATTATATATCTGACTCCTGATCCATTCTCCACCTCCCTGTAAAGAATGCTGCTGTCATGCAAAAGGCTGGCTATTCTAATGATACTCTTTATCTTTTAGACAAGTTCCAAAAACGCATGTAGTGTAGTTGGACCTGCTTTACAAAACACAGTTTATTTGAAGCAGGAAACCGTGTTACATTTATGTTTCCTTCTTCGAACGTAACCTGTGTTTCCTGCTTTGGACAATATAAGTTGTACCTTCTTTACTCTATTTATTACCTCTTGAGGATACAGCTCTAAAACTCTTTTTTTGGCTGATAGTGAAGTTTTCAGAACTCTCTAATTTTAAATGGCCAATCTTATTTTACTTTTTCTCATTCAAACAAAAAATGATGCATTCGAACAAAAAATGCTGATGATGGTTTTTGGCTTTGTGGTCACCGATGTTTCTAAAGATATCAAAAAAAAAAGATACAGAAGTTTGAGAAAAATTTGCTTGTTTGCTTGGCAATTTTTGCTCCCGTAATTTATAGTGTTTTCTTGTTTGGTCTGGTCTGCGTGTGAGTCGAGAAGTTTATTTACGTGAAAACATTAAAAACAGCTGATTTCATTTATCTAACACTATCATACAGATGGCAATCATGGTCATCTCTTGCTTTATATCATGTAAAATTGTTTGTTCAGTTTCTCTGGGAGTAAAATGTGATTTATATTGAAAAGGAAGATAATCCTATGTTTGCTCTAAAACATTGTTCAATTGAGAATTTTTGGTCTATTTTGAAAGAACTTCTCTATAAAATCAACTTGGAAGCTCTACAATTCATTATTTGAAAAAAAGAATTTAATATTTGTTATTTGTTTAAAAAAAGTTGAGAAAACTGTACAAGCTTGTATTAGTAGTGTTTACAAAAATTTAAATGCTTTTCACAGATACAGTGAAGCTGTTTTGTTGCCATCTGCGTAAGTTAAAGTAACAATGTTGCTGTACCATATGCTTTTTACAGAATCAAAATATCTTTATTAGTTCATAAGTGACTATTTTAGTGTAATCTAATTAATTAGTGATAACAAATTAAAACAACTATTTAGCATGTTGTTAAGGGTGTTATGCATATAAATATAAATATATTAGTTCATAAGTGACTATTTTAGTGTAATCTAATTAATTAGTGATAACAAATTAAAACAACTATTTAGCATGTTGCTAAGGGTGTTATGCATGTCGCTATGGGTTATGCATATCTGTGATTGAGTCAAATTTTCTAATTATTTAAAAAATGACTATTAGGGTGGGTCTTATTTTTTAACTTTTTTTAATTCCAAAAATTTACTTCTATGTAGGCTAATGAAAATTTATGGAGTTTTTTGAATTTGAATACTTGAATAAATATTTGCTTTTTATCATTTTTCCAATGAATGAAATTAAATTAAATAAATTCTATAAGCTAGAAGATATTTTAGTAGCAAATTAAATAAATTCCAGTTAGCTAGAAGCTATTTTAGTCATACAAAGTATTGGAATGGTAAATAAATTAAATATAAAAAATCATTTGATGTCTAAATAAATCTTTCTAAAAAAAGAAAAACTCAAAACTCACCAAATTTTAAAATAATGTATTGAACTAGAATGATTTGTGCCCCAAATAGTGCCTGAAGTTTACATAGAAGTAAATGCACTATAAAATTGTTTTGTTTCCTGCACATCATTTCGATTTATTATTGTTTTAATTAATTAATCATTTTAACTAGCGTGTTATGTATGTTTTACATAACACGTTTTGTTTTTTATGAAATCTGCAAGCTTGCCTTAAAATCAAACAACACACCAATCAACTTTTTATTATATTTCAAATAGTTTCACACAACAAGTTAATTCTGTGTTTAATAAAACTTCAATACCCACAATAATCCTTTTTCAGAGTTATCCATTTAATAAGTGGATAACTTGATAGTTTATATAATGTTATGAAATCCTTTATGTGTGATAAAAAAGGTTGATTGTTTAAAAAAATGTTATTGTTTAATGTCTTAACGTGTTAGCGTAATTTGTGAATGAGAATGTTCTGTTTCAATTATTGTTAAGTTTAAGAAAGATAAAAAAATTCTTAGCATTTATTGTTTAATTATTTATTTAATTATTAACATTTATTATTCTTACATAATACTAGCTTACTTAGTTTTTATTTTATGAAATGCAAACTATTATATTGTTTTTTTTAATACACTTAATTACTAGCTTACTTAGTTTTTATTTTATGAAATGCAAAGTATTATGTTGTTTTTTTTTAATACACTTAATTACTACATAGTGAAGATTATGCCATGGGTTAACATTATCTAACAACAGTATTTTGTTTTATTTCCTTTTTTTCTGATTTAAATCTTGTTTTTTATTTAATTGCTAATTTATAAAGTTAAACATTGTTATAAACATTTTAAAACATTTATATACACTTAAATGAACTTTTAATAGTTTTTAATTGTGTCAAGAGTGTTACTTGATTTTTGTATTGTAATTGTTGATAATGATGATCATAGAAACCAATAATAATTATTGTTGTTATTGGTGACTTAAATATTTATCACATTGTGTAGCTCTAGTACCGCAAACACTGCTTTAGTGCAGTTGGAGTCTCTTTCCCATCAGTTTAAGGTAGTATATCATTCTTTTTTATGATATCACTCATATGCTGCTCAAACAACTTATCACCACTTTTTCTATCAACCAAAACTCAAGAGTTGTGTTTTAGTTAATAATATAATTTAAATGATTTTATTTTCTTTAGTTTTTAAAAAAATACAATTTTAGTAATATATAAAAAAAAGATATGTTTTGTACATGGTACATGATATTATAAGTACAAAACTTTTTAGGTTTCAATAATCAAGAATTTAGAAGCATATGGTGTTGATGTAAAATCATTTGCAGCCTCTTTGCAACAAATGGCAGCATCTAGTGCTCTAGGTATTTCGTTTGTGTTATTTGTTATTATACAACTTTTTTTTTTTAATTTAAGTTTAGTTTTAAATGTTAATGATCAATGCTGTAGCAGTGTAGTGGCTCTTTACAAAAGAGCTTACTTAATTTTATTGTAAGTACCAAGTTTGATCCCAGGTCTCTTGTAATACAATGCAGCAACCTTGTTTTATAAGCTTCCTGTAACAAACAATTGCAAGAAAAAAATGTAATAAAAAAAGAAACTAGTATCCTTCTCTACTTTAGCAGCTTTCTTCGATATTTAAAAGATAAAACAGTAATATTGTTATTATAATTACTGTTATTAAAAGTTTTAAGAATGTGCTGATAGGTGGTAGAATAGCAGTGGATAGGGTCTCTATAATCAACAGACAGCAGCTTTCAGGGAGTTCTTGAATAGAATGTGTTAATTTTTAGTAAATTATTTTATTCAGTTTATCAAGTGATGAAAAAATTGTTTTGTTAGAAACACTTAATTTCAGTAGATAATTTACTCATAACTAATAAATACTCATAACCATTTTAAGGGTGGATTTTAGATTTTGTTAATCTTATATATTTTATTCCAAGTTGTTGATGCGCCTGGAAAATCAAGCGATCATCATGTTGTTGTTCAAGGAGTACAGCATAAACATATAAAAAATTTGCTAGGTAATTATTAGTATATTTGATTGTTATTTAAAAACATTTTTTAAATAACAATCAATACTTTAGGTTTTTACATAAGTTGTCAATATTAAAATATTTATATATATTTATTATATATTACTCATAAAAATGTAATGTCTTTTTATTTTAGATACGCACAAGATCCCTAAAAAATATATAAAAGGTCTTGAATCAACAGATAAAGAAAAGAAGAAGTATTGAAGAATTTTCGGTCAACACATTAAAATTGTAGTTGACAGACTGTTGAGTTGTGCTTAGCATATGGTTTAAATTAATCTAGCACCTTAAATCGATTCTTTAAACCTTTGTTGATCTAACACAGGTTGCTGTATTTTACAAAAACAGTTGTATTTGTTTTGCACACACAAAATATGTGCATTATATATATTTTTCAATTTTAAAGAATTGAAAATTTCTAAACTACAATACAATTAAAAACAAAGCCAAATTGTTTTCTATACAAAAGGAAAATAAAAAATAATTAAATTAGAAAAAAGTTAAAAGAGTTATGTTTAAATAAATTTCCAACCTAATGTACCTATGTACTTATATAATTAATGTACTTGTTCAAATCCAAACCTTCAGTTCATGCTCTGAAACCGCTCACACATAGTTTTTTCAGTATGGCATCATTTTAATGACATTTCTTACATAGCTGTATTTGCATAGATATTTTAATGTATGTGTATATATTTATATATATATTTAGATCCAGCTACATAACTATAAACGCGTGCTTAGTTAAGCACTCTGACATCACATTGAAATAATTTGCTGCTGGGGGCTTCAGTATATACATGGACTATCTTATAGCCTGCTGCCGCAAAGGAATGCCACTACATCGATTGAGAGTTTAGAATGGAGCAGCAATCTTTTTTTTTTTTTTTTTTTTTTTTTTTTTTTTTTTTGAAACGCTTTTTAAATTAATTTAACAAAAATAGGGTAACAATTTGTTACAAGAATATTTTATTTATATATATATATATATATATATATATATATATATATATATATATATATATATATATATATATATATAAATTTCAAATTTTATATATTTTTATGATATTATAGTACTAAGTAGTACTTATTTTAATTAAAAAACTCATAATAAAAAAAACTATCTTTTAAGGTTCTATGGTCATTTAAAAAAAGGGCAATTTTGAAACAACCACTGTTGTCTAATGTTTACTGCGTAAAAAAAACAGTTGTCCAAGTTATTTATAACTAAAGCAATGATAGTAAAAGTGTAAGTCACTTGACTAACTTTTCGGATAAAGTAAAAAACATTACGTTGACAGAAAAACATTTAAAAAAAAACATTTTATATTTATACATATATATATATATATATATATATATATATATATATATATATATATATATATATATATATATATATATATATATATATATATATATAAATATATATATATATATATATATATATATATATATATATATATATATATATATATATATATATATATATATATATATATATATATATATACCTGTATACCTGTATACTGCTTTTTGCTTTGAACTAGTTTGTAGTCGTTTAAAAATAAAAATTTTTTAAAATGTTTCAATCAAAATTTGTGCAAAAACTGTATTTGTTTTAAAAGATGTGTCTAAGCCAAACATGTGACAAATGTAATTCAGATAACTCATGACAGTCAATGATTCCATTATACATATATCAAACATAGTGTTTGCTTTTGTTTTTGCTGTTAAAGTGTTTTGTTGTTAAATTCCTTCCCTCCCTATGCAGAAGAAAAAATCCGATTCTCGTCACTAATGTCCTCAAGTAACTGCTAGATACATTACTGATGTATATATATATATATATATATATATATATATATATATATATATATATATATATATATATATATACATTACTGATGTATATATATATATATATATATATATATATATATATATATATATATATATATATATATATATATATATATATATATATATATATATATATATATATATATATATTTATATATGTATATGTATATGTATATATAAATATATATATATATATATATATATATATATATATATATATATATATATATATATATATATATTTATATATGTATATGTATATGTATATGTATATATATATATATATATATATATATATATATATATATATATATATATATATATATATATATATATATATATATATATATATGTATATGTATATATATATATATATATATATATATATATATATGTATATGTATATGTATATGTATATATATATATATATATATATATATATATATATATATATATATATTACATGCATCTGTATGTATACATATACATAGTTTTATATATATAACATATAACATAGTATTATTATATATATGTGTAGATTACAGTAATTCTACAGATGACAGATAAGTAGGAAACTCTGCTTTTTAATTGTTGTTATAAAACTTACAAAAAATTATTGTTAATAAATAGTGTAGAAATATAATAGAAAGAAGTTAAACACTTCACTACCAGAACATGGATCAAATATCTTGTCTTGAATGATTTTAACTTGTTTATATAATAAATATATATTAAAGTTGTTGATGATTAAATATTTTAATGGACTCTACCACTAAATTATGTCTATATTTGCTTTATGTCAATAATTTAATGTTTAAAAGTTTTTTCTATATTTTATTTTTATATAACTTATAAAGTATTAAGCAGGGTGTTAGCCAAGAATATAATTTTTACTACATTACAATATTGTGATATTGGAAGTATTTATTGTATTACAAAGTATTGGAAATCTTCATTAATATTATCCTATTACTTAAACAAAGAAATTAAAAAATAAAATGGTTATTGAGTTTCGGGCCATTGGGCTGGTTAGCACCCTGTATAGTTATGATGCATTAAATTTATTGGTATTTACAGATAATAAACTACCAGTTTTAGTAATTTAATTGCATTTAAGTTTTAAAATTTTAAATGTTCAAATTTGTTTATTGAATGAAAGAGAGTACCATTAAAAAATGAACATGATAATGGTTGAAAGAAAATCTTTTATATTAAATGTTATTTATTTATTAGAAAGTATTTATTGAAAGAAGTTCTATAAAACAATCTGTAATTAATATCTAATAAAGTAAAGAGATAAAAATGTAAAGATAAAAATAATTTTTCAAAGTTAATTAGCTCAAAAAAAGACCTATATGCAATTCTATAGTTTCTTGAAATTAAAACTTTTCTCAACTTAAATAAAACCTTAAGTTAACTTAAATAAAACCTTAAGTTAACTTAAATAAAACCTTAAGTTAACTTAAATAAAACCTTAAGTTAAACCTTGAGTTAAATAAAACCTGAAGCATTAATTTATGTCCATTTCTTTTAAAATCTGTCCACCTTTAAATATTTCTATCACATAGTGTTACAGCTTATTTGAGGTAGTGACTGGTAGTTTGAGATGAATCATCATTTTTCTTTAATTGACTAATTGAATGCAAAGTGAATTTGAATTGAATAATAGAATAAAAATATCTACCTAATAACAATCTATTTAAACTTGTTTTGTGCAAAACTATTTATCCCCCAAAATTTAGACCTTTAATAAATACTTTATATTTCTAGACATACAAAATAAACACTTTATTTTACCTTATAGAAGACTTGAAAAGATAATGTCTGTAAAATGTCAAATTATTGATAATAATATTGTTATTTTCTTGTATTTATGTTAGCCTATATATTTTTAAATTTATAAATAAAAGTAGTAATATTTAAAAGTAAAAATATTTAAAAAAATAATTTTTTAAGATATTTTTTATTATTTAGATAAAGTAATACAATATGGGTTGTTTTGCACTTTCAAGTGAACCAGTCATATTTTTATATACAACTATTTTTACAATCAATTACTCTATACTACCTCAGCTTGTTGTTCACAAATTGTGTCTACAAATTTTCAATAAAACAGAATGTGAAAAACCAGAAACTTATCCAGTGACAATTCAAAAGGTCAGTATATATTGTTGCAGTTCTAATATTGTCTTTTAAGTTCCATGTTATTTTTTGTATTTTATCATTTTGTGCAGGTTTTTGAGTTTTTGAAATTCAGTAAAAAAATTTTTTGAGTAATCAGTAGTAAATTAAAAAATATTCTTCCATTATCTTTATATTTTCCTGGATCTTAGTTGATTTATGTTGTAACTAATATTAAGTGTTTGAGGTGTTATGCTTTGGTTAGAATTTGAATCGTGTTTTTACTGTTACTTGATTAAATAATGCAGTACCTAACAAAAACATTAAACGATATATAACGTCTATCTGACTTGTATCTTGTATTTTATTAAATGGTTGCAATCCTTCATACACAAAAAATGCTCCCTAAAAGCTTTTTTTTGATACCTTAATCAACTAACTTAAAAATTATCAATAAGTTTCATGTTTCAATAAAAATCATACAATATATAAACATTTTGAATGCTAAAAGTTTGAACCTTGGTTAACGGGGAGAAGGGGATTGAGATAAGATTTTTTTTTAAAGCATTAAAGCAGTATTTGAAACAAGTATGAAATATAGTGAACAATAGTACGATGAAGTAATTATAAGGGTTGAGAATTATTAGTTAACTTTTTTTATTTGATGTTTTTAGATTTCTTATATAATGTAAATTACTTATATAGTAACTGAATTTAAATTAGTTCATATTAATAAAACTTACTTATCGCACAAGTTTGAAATTACAAATATTAGATGTCACTTTTTAGACAGTTCAGGTTTTTGGTTGCTTTTGAAAGTACAATTTTTATTTTATTTTTTGTTTACATTGCTGGTGAAGATACAAGAACATCATGTAAATGTTCTTATATCTTCACCAGCAGTGTAAACATAAAATAAAATAAAATTTTTATTTTCAGAAGAAACCAAAAACTTGGGCTGTCTAAAAAGTGACATCCAATATTTATCAAAAATAACAGAATTTACCCAAAATAGAATGTAAACAAAAATACTAACTTTCTGCACAAATATGTATAATGTATTGATAAACTAGAACTAACTGATAAACATACTATACATATTTAAATTTGGCACACATATAAATATGTGCCAAATTTGGAACAAATTTTGTGATATGTAGAGTATGAGAATTTAAAAACAAGTTTAAAACAAGTTTTCGCTTTTTACGGGTTGATTTCGCCATTTTAAAAAGAGTTAGAGCCTTATTATATTTTGTCGAATTAAGCGCATTCTTTATGCATCAACATTGCACATGTTGATACAAAAGCAGACTTCACATGCCCATATATGACAAGAAACACATTGGAGCCAGTCTTCTGATGAATCCATCCATGTCACACTACACACACAGCAGTGAGTTGTTTTTTGCTGTTTTTGTTATAAAGTTTTGATGTACTCGGTAGCTTTTGATTTAATAATGATTTTAAACTATGGGATTTCCTCTTCTTTGAGTCATACATTTTTTTGATTGGGCAAAAAATTCCTTTTCTTTCTTGAGCCACTTGCTTTTTTGTTGGAGAACTTCTTCGAGTTACTTGAATTGGAAAACACATCTAGAGATTTTTTCATATAAGTGAGTAATCTAAGTGAGATTTACGCCATGTAGTGAGCAAATCTTTTTAAAGTAATTGACGACGATGTAGTTTTTTAGCATACAAGTAAGCATTATACCTCAACCACTTTGTTGTCAATGAAAATCCACAATCTGCCATATAAAAAGGCTTTTTTACTAGTGTTTGTTCTTGTTGCTTTGTAGACACTGTTTTTCCTCCCTCAGAGCTTGATTGTTGACGACCATTTACCTTATCTTTCAGTGTTGATTTCGGTACTCCAAATTTTTTTTGCTGCTGTTAATATTTTACCGCGTTCTTTAACAGCTTGAATAGCCAATTGGAGATTGGTATCACACAATGGATTTCTTTTTCTTGGGGAGATGTTTGCGTACCATCTGAAACATAGGTAATATATAGCAATTTTTAGATTTTGGTCTATAGGGTAAAAATGCAACAAGACATTTATTACCGATTGGCATAACTTTCTTTTTAATTATTGATGCTTGGATTTTATAATGGTGTATTTTAAACATGCTAATCGATATAGTGGCCATAAACAATCTACTGTTTTTCTTGTTCCTAGTTTCCTATCTATAGTTTTATTAAAAGAATGTTGAAATCGTAAAAGTATATTTTTAACTAAGCAGAAAACTCATAAAAAAAAATATTACCATCTCAGTAAAGTAATATTAAATGTTATATTTCAAAGTGTTACATTTCCTTCAGGGAAAATGTAACACTTTGAAAATAGAAAAAAAAGAAGGAAATGTAACACTTTGCTTACAGCAAAGTGTTACATTTCCTTCTTTTTTTTTTTCGAATACAATGCAACTAAAAATAAAAATAAATAAAATAGTATTTAATAATAAGAAATGCGAATATAAGATATGCATTCAATTGGAACAAATGACATTTTCAAATACAAGTTTTAAAACAGTGTTTTTAAGTTAAATTATAATAGCTTCAGTTTAAAATGTATATTTAAAAACTATTAATTTATTAAATCTTCAAAATACTTCTAAAAAATTTATCATACGATAATTCCTGATATATGTCCAATGATTTTATAAAATTGTTTATATAATAATAAATATTGTTTAGAAAGCAAAAAATATTGTACATATATATTTTTTTTAACTGTGGGACTATTCTATCATTCTGTGGCAAAATCGCCCCACAATATTCTACTTGGACGAAAATCTATTTAAATGGTATTTATTTATACCACGAACGCCAGCTAAATAGTTTATAAAGCTCTAACCTTAGCAGTTATTTTTAAATGTAGTTTCAATTAATTTCACAAAATTACTAATAATGCCACAGCAAGAATTACACGATAGTATCAAGTAATAACATTACTAACAAACAGCAAATCTTATTTAAAATTTACAACAACCAATCAAATTAAGCGGCAACTATGATCAATCATTATTTATAAGGGTAAAATTTTAAAATAATAAATATTTTACATCTTAATATGGTGTTATAAAAATAACACCTTTTTCTTGAAATATTATAAGTGGCAAAATTGCCCTTGTGGCGAAATCGCCCCGGTCTGCCATATATATGTATATATAGGTCCACGACTTTTAAAGCCTGGTTACACCGAAAGTTTTTTACTTTTAGCAGTGACTAGCATATATATTTTTTAATTTTTTTAGCTGGTTTATATTTTAAATTAAATTTAAGTCGGTTTACATTTTAATTTTAATTACATTTTTTTAGTTTTGAAATATAATTTTTCTTTTAATAACAAGTAAAATTGAAAAAATTAGTATTAGGGCCTTATAAGCTTGAGTTGGATCGAAAAACTCCCTCCCGTGAGTATATATATATTTTATATTTTACCTAAAAAAAAAATCAAACTTGTTTTTTTTATCAATATACATTAGTTCTGAAAATATTTAAGAAATAAAACTTTTCAATTTTTTTAACATTACAACAGCTAATAACTCTTTGTATAATCAATAATGCGAGCATTTGTTTAATATACAGATTTGTCAGATGGTAATGTTTATCATTTAAAATCACAAAAAAAAAAAAAAAAAGTTTTTTCATTATTTAATACCATATAATTTTATTACCACTTCTGGACCTATAAAAATTAATGCTTTCATGTTTAGATAAAATTTTTCCTAGACATGAAAATCAAACTAATTCTATATTCATTATAAAAAAAAATAAATTTAATTTTATATCTTTAAGAAATAAGTAGCCAGATTCTTTGATTCTTTCCTAGGGAAGCATTTGATTCTTTCCTAGTGAAGCATAACATGCACCTTTAATTCTTTCCTAGGGAAGCATAGCATGCACCTTTAACAATAAATTTAAAATATTTTTGAAACACCTAAGCATTTAAACTCTTGCAAACACCTTTTAAATCTTACCTGAAACGATTGCATTTCTAATTTATTTTTCAAGAATTATTGCTTAATGAAGTAAACACAATATAAAGAACAATATTTTTTTACTTACCAATTTGCAAACTTTGCATTTTTTACTTTAAGCAGTAGAAATTAGACACTATATAATCGGTATCGTATAAGTCGATACGGAGAAAAATGATCTCATATCGCGTGGTATCGCTTGTATACTAATGTCAATACTATTAGTATCAGTTCGATACTACTAGATACCGAGAAGGATGGTCTCGTATCGTGGTATCGCTTATGTACCAATGTTGGTACTGTCAGTATCGCTTCGATACCAAACGATACCGATAATTAAAAAAATTGTGTGGTATCGCATGGTCTCGAATCGAGACTCAATAAAACAAAAAACAAAATTTTATTATTTTATATTAAAATTTTAAAATTTTAACAATCTACAATACTTTGGCTGTCGTCCATTCGTTGTTTTTTCCAGGAAGAATTTACTGTAAATTTTACATCTTAAATTTTACAAGTTAAATAATTTCAGAAATATTATTACCAAAAAAGACCCTTTCATAGGCTCGAATTTTTTTTTTTTTTTTAAAGTCAGTTAGTATCTATATATGAAACAAAAAAAATTTAGAGTGGGCAGACAATACCTTGATAGTCAATTTAACACACTGTGATTTGAGCGTTCTCCCTAAAAATCAGAGCCGTCCTTAGAAAATGCGAGGCCTGGAGCAAAACATTTTTGCGAGGCCTTCTTGAAAGTCATCATTTTAGGCGTTTTGACGAAGAAAGACCTTTTCTCTTACTGTCTGAAAAAAAGTTGTATAAGTGCAAAATATAAATTTCAGGTTAGTATAATTTTGAGTTGTTATTTTCGTGTAGGCTTATAAAAAGGACTGTATGCTTTATAAAATAATCTAGAATAATAACAATAAAGTTTATTCTTAAAGTTATTAAAGGCCAAATAATGTAAAATAAATAATAATTTTTGTCTGACAAGAAATAAATGAATCAGAATAACGAATAATTTTCTCCTTTTTTTAATTATTATTGAATAATCAGTTATAAATAATATAACATATTTTTACAAAATAGCAGTCGATATGAATAGGTAGGCAGATGTTATATAATGGTATTATATTCATAGGTAGGCAGATGTTATATAATGTGTTCACACTGTAAAATAATAGATATTAATCTTATAATAGAATACTGACAAATATTTATAATAAAATAATACAGTGTTATTAATACCGTAAAAACAATTGTCCAGGGTTAGATAATTTTTAAAATTGCTTCAAAAGGATGAAAACTTAGATGTCACAATTGATAGCCTTTTTAGACCCATGGGCGAACATAATTATGTCTTGATAAGTTTCAAGCGTAAAAAACTCCTGCGCTTGCCACAGCTACTGGTATAGTCAGTAATATTCTATTCGTTATAAATGCATTCGAAAATGAGTTTTGAATCTGGTGAATAAGTCTCAATATCCTTGCAGCTCTTTCCACCTCACCCGGTAGAAGTTCTTGAAGAACAAAATAAATCTGCAATAATGTAAAATGCTTGTAGATTTATTTCTAAGATACGTGCCTGTACTCAAGAGTGGATTCTTTTTATATTGAAACCGTTGTCGTACCATTGTCCCTGATATGCAATCTAATTTCATCTAATCTTGTAAAAGAACATCAGTTAGATTTTTTCCCGTTGTTGATTAAACGTCTAAGAATCGAAGGAAATGTTCTTCGATGCTTACATCTTCATTTTCACTCTTGAGAGAAGTTGCATTCATATTAATTTTTACAAATCGCATGACCTATTATAACTGCTCCTTCTGACTAAGATCCGGTGTGCGGCCTATTCATTTTTTATTTTTTTTTATTTAACTTTTTTTATTAATTTTATTTTACTTACTTTACTTTTGAATTTTATGTTAAATTCTTTCATTTAATTCGTTCTCGTTTCCTCTTTTTAGATATTTTTTATTCTTTTTTAGTTTTGAAAAACAAAACAAAATTTTTACATGATCTATTAATTTTTTTTTTAACTTTTTCACTCTTTAAAAAAGTATTTTATAGCCGTACAAAGGAGAATCATGTTGATAATTTTTTAATTAATAAATAATTGCGCGGGTAATTAGATATTTTTGGCACGTATATTATTATATTGTTTTCATTTAACCAAAACATTTTTTAACGTCAGTAACAACGTCTTTTATTTTTTAACAATAGTAAGGCGTTGCTCCGCGAAGCCTTACTCGTTAACAATAAATAAAAGTTTTGATTGCTCGTGTTTAGGATGGCCTCGCTGCGAGGCATTTCTAACCGCAAGGCCTGAGGCGGCTGCCTCACTCGCGCCACCTTAAAGACTGCTCTGCTAAAAATCAGTCAATTTATGAATTATTGCTTTAACAAATAAATTAAATTTTTTTAAATCTTAAAGTTTAATAGTTATAAAGTAAAAACGCAAAAAATAAACTGCATTTCTAATTTAAAAAAATTAAATTCTTCAGAAAGACTTGAACCTAGATCTCCGGACTAATAGACCATAACTTTATCCGCTTGGCCATGCAAGCTACTACGTCAAACAGTTAAGTTATTATATATAAATTTCTGCCGGTAATGAATCTCAGGATTATTCCCCGGCATTGCCGGCAATTACCTTTTGAGATATAGTATAAACAATACTTAGTAGGTAGTTCTTACCTATATTTTTCCTTAATTAATCTAAGATTAAAGATTTTGTATAAGGCATAGTGAGCGAAGATTAGTTTTCTTTAATAACTAAAGTATACTTATGTTTAATTATTTAAAACTAAATTTTAGTTGTTAAATGTTGAACACAGAACGAAAGACCAGGCGAGAATCACGATACCATGAGATTAATAAGATTAAAGTAACGATACCAGATGAGAAACTAAAATATGGATGTGATATCACAGAGTTAATTAAATTTAAATAACTGTAATGACTGTTATGAAATCAATTCCTTTTGAAAAATCATTTCTCATACTCGTTTCGAATAATCATTAACGTATTCATCACAACCAATTTCCTTTGGAGAATATATGAAAATATATGAAATATGTAAAACTCTCTTCAATGATAGTTACAAAACTAATTCCTTTTGAACAATCATTTATAATAATCGTTTAAAATAATCTTTGCGATTGCTTCACAAGCAAATCCTTTTGGAGAATTATATGAAAAACTCTCTTTAATGATTGCAAAATTATTTCCTTGGAGATTAATTCCGCACAGAAAATATTTGCCTGAATGGAATAAAAATTTAATTGAGTTGGAGTAACGATATGAGAAACTATACACTGCAGGGGCGGATCCAGGTCATTGTTCTAATTTGTTCAATTAATTGTTTAATAATTTGTTAAAATATTAAAAATATATTTTTGAAACAATTGTTTCATTTGATCATTTAGAATGATTTAAAAAAGATTATAAGATGGCTTGCTAATAAATATATTAAATGGTTATATAATTTTTTTTTTTTTTTTTTTGAGAAAAATAATAAAATGTTGAATTAAGTTTTTTGTATTTTTTCCAATTTTTTTAACTTTATCATTTTGAAGTTTGACATTTATTAGGTAGGGGGGCGGGTAGTAACCCGAATACTGACCCCCTTTCCTTTTTGCCCGCCCCTTACACACTGTTTAACATAATTTAATTATTTGTAATAATTTAATATAGAAATAAGTGTTAAACAAAATCTTTTTTTTCCTTTTAATCATAATAGAAAAAATTGTAAAAACAATAACATATGAGAAATTAAATACAGAAGTGATACCACACAATTCTTTAAATTAAAAAAAATATACCAGATAAGAAATTAAATGATAAACATGATGTCGTAAACCATCTTTGAGATTTTCTTTTATAATAAATGAGTCAGTTACATACATCTCATTTATTATACGAATTTACTATTTTAAATTACTAATCGTTTATAAAAATATAATGGAAGTTCTCATGATGACCCGAGTTATATATAAGTTTATATATAGTATAGTAGAATATAAGTTTATATATAGTATAGTAAAAATTTTTAACTTTGCAGCGTGTCTGGTAGTTACTTCACTTAAATATGAAAATCTTACAGGTCAACTCCCTTTTAATACTTTTTCTGCAAGTGTGCCAACTACAGTAATTTTGGGATTATTCCAAAATCAAATCTAAATGGTCCATTTCTGCCCTTTGAATCATTAAAAAACCTTATTTATGTACGGTATCAATAGTAACCGTTTTTGTCAGTCATTTAATTATTTTTATTTTACTTTAGGAAGCCTCGACTTGGTGGTTTTATATGCTAACATGTTCATTAGTGCCTTCCGTTTTAACCGTGCTTGTATGGGGTCCATTAACCGATATAATTGGTAGACGATATGCTATGTTGGCAGTACCTTTTATTAATGCTATGCGTTCAATCATATATCTTATAAACGCTTACTTTTTGCATGCTCATGTTGGGTATTTACTATTTGGTTCATTTTTGTCTTGTTTTTATGGTGAATTTCAAGGTGTCGTAGCTCTTTGCTATGCTTATATGGCTGATATTACTCAAGATAATCTTGATAATAGAACAATGCGAATGGCCTTTCTTGAGAGCAGTTTGTTTTTTGCCGGTGTACCTTCAGGCTTATTAGCTGGGTATCTACTACAAGAAATTGGGTACGTTCCAGTGTTTATATTAACATTGATTGTTAACCTAATAATGTTTTTCTATGTGTTTTGTTTCTTGCCGGATAAAAAATCGCTTAACTCTGTAGGTAATAAATCTACGGAAGTAGCTACAGAACAATTTCTCAACTGTGTCGGAAAAATTGAAAAAAAAAAAATTGCTTTACTTAATCCTATCAAGCATATCAAAAAAGTAATAATGGTAATAACGTCACGAGAAAATCGATTGATTATTTTGCCGTTAATATTAGCTTTTGGTGTTACCGTTTGTTCATTGTTTGGTGAACTTATTGTTCAGACCCTGTATTTACAAAACGAGCCATTTAACATGTCGCCTAAACTATTAGGGTATTATTCTGCGGCTCAATCTACTGTGCGTGGTATTGGTATTATTTTTGTTACCCAGCTCTCTTATCGGTTGTTGAAGTTAAACGACTACACTCTTATATTCATTGGTCTACTTAGTCTTACTACATGTTACTTGTTAATTGGTCTGGCTAGGTCGGTTGAAGCTGTTTTTTTGGTAAATATAGTTGGTTTTGCTATTCCTACAACCACGTCCGCTCTCAGATCAGTTGTGACAAAGCAAGTTTCTTATGAAAATTATGGTGCTGTGCTTTCCTCTATGGAAGCATTTGAAGCTATTGCTTCTGTAGCAGCTAATGGTATTTCATTATGGACTTATAACTTGACCTTGGACGTCTATTCAGGAGTTGTTTTTTATGGTCTCAGCGGAATCACTTTAATTGCTTTTGTCTTTGTTATGTTAGCCTGTTGTTGTTCTCGTTCCATAGATATTGTTGAAATTAAATAACTTGTCTGTCTTGGCATTTTATAGATATTTTAAATTATTTTATAGCTAGTTTTACATTTTAATATTTGAAATTACAAACTCAAATTCTATTTTTAATTATAAATAAATATTATATTTTGCATAACAGATTATATAGATGTATGAATATTTTAATACGCAATGGTTGTACACATAATATATGAAAAGCTGTGATTATACATTTGATAATATAAACTTAATTCTTCGTTTGTTAAATATGTGCTTACATGTTGTTTTAAAGCGTAACTACACCTTTTCAAGTTACAACGGAGCTGGAGAATTTTTAAACACCCTTTCCAAATGAGCGGGACATGGAGCATTGTCGGTTACGATGACTGAATCCTCTAAAAGACTCCCGAATGTAACCCACTGGTGAAACATAATCAACATCTACTCGTTACAAAATTCTGCATTAAATGATCCTCTACAAGTTTTCCATCATGACAACATTTGTTGTTGATATAGCTGCAATCAAATGTATGTTTACACCTTCTGAGTCAGGCATTTTCGTTATTGCTCTTCTTTCGTCTTTGCGTTTTTCTAGAAAAAAGGTTAAAATTTGTTTCATTAAACCAAACTATTTGATGATCGTTTGTGATTTGCTCGTTGTCGTTCCTAACATATTCAGCTGTTTTTTGTTTGTTTTTAGTACTGTTTCTTGTAAATACCTTTTTCATTACTGTTTTTTGTAAGTTTCTTGAAAGTACCTTTAGCACTTTTTTTAATGAAAACAATATGCCCTCGAAGTAAGTTCTGCCTTGGCGGTTGTTGTTGTTCTGACGCTAATAACTGCCTTCATATTTAGTTTTGATAAATTGTCATAATGTTTTTGTGTTGATCCTCAATCAATTTTTATGGTTTAAAATCACTTCTTCTGGTAAAATTTGAATTTCTGCTACGAACCCAATTGAAGTAATTTTGTCCCAGTTTCAACCGTCATTTCGCTCAACACATTCCGTTACTCTTCTTCTGTCATTAAGTGTAGATAAAACGTAATATTTTCTTTCTACTTGTTCGTTAATATGTATTTCATGCCGACAAATCGGACATGTTGGTTCTGGTTGTTCCAGAAGTCGATGTAGGCAATTTGGAGAAATAAATGCTGACACGGATTCAATTTAACTTTCGAGTCATAGTGTATTGACAAATAACATAAAGATCTTGCAATTCCATTATTATTACTGTTGCATACAAATGCTTAATTTGATATTGACTTATTCAAATTTTCAGAATTCGTTTCAGAAAACCTTTTATAATAACCTATGAGCTTACATTGTGAATTCGCAATTACAAATTATGAATTATCATTTACATATTACGATTTCTTATTTGTATGTCGTGTTTCTCAATTACATTTTACGATTTCTTATTTGTATGTTGTGTTTCCCAATTACATATTTCGATTTCTTAATTACAACATTCATGTTCTCAATTAACAAAAGAAGTAGTTTATTTATGATTTTAGGGGAAATTTAAAAAAAAAGTAAGATAGTGAATTGCTGTTGGTTTAGGGTGCCAGAGTTAGATGTGAAGTGTTTACCACAGTTGTTAACAAAGTCAAAAATAGTTGTTAACAAAGTCAAAAATAGTTGTTAACAAAGTCAAAAATAGTTGTTAACAAAGTCAAAAAGTTTCAAGATTAAAGCCAAGAGTTTTAAGGTCACCACCAAGAACAAGAGTTTCAAGGCCAAAACCTACGCAAACATTTTCGAGGCCATAGACTTAAATTTTGGCCTTAATTAAGGCCAGTTATTAACAAAACTGCAGGTAGCAAGTACTGTCACACTAAAACTATATGCTATGTAATTAGACCTATTAGGTTATGCGCAGAAATCGATAAGAAAATTTTTTGTAGATAACGTTTGTTTAAAATTTGTAGACAACATTTGTAGATAACGTTTGTTTAGAAAACATTTGTAGATAACGTTTGTTTAAAAGCGGCAAGTTATTATACGTAAGCGCATTGAAACTTTCAAAAGCTTAGATTTTAATGATGGCTACAGTTTTTAGTCTAAAGACCGTATCTAAAATTTAGATACGTATCTGAAGTTTAGATACGAAAATATTTATTTAATAACAACCATATATTTATAATTTTAGGTATTAATAAATATCTAAATCTTATTCTTTGAATAAAATTATTATAAGGATAAACCAGTTTGTTGATAATAAAATGAAAATAATAAGAAGGAAAACGTCGAAGTGTATTAAAATATATTTTTTTATGCAATCATTGTGTATTTGTCTAAAGCCTCATTTGTTTACTTTTTTAAAATTCATTAAAAAAAATTTTTTGAGCATTAAAATTAAATTTTTTTTTTTTTAATTTTAGATTAACATGTTCTTAATTTGTTTCTTTTTTCTACTTGTTGAGTTCAAACTTTTTTAAAAGTAACTCTATTAACACTTTCTTTTACACCCTAGTTTTTACTTTAAGTTAAACATGTATACGCATATATATTTTTGAATATATACTATAATATAATAGAGTATATAGTTTGTCATTTTATATTATATAAATTTATACATTTAAACAACAATATAGATGATATTTCGATATTCTTTTTAGCATGTTTTATTTTATCCTCTAATGTTAATGTTTTCGAGCTTAAAAAATGTATACAATAACAATAATTATGATTTTTTATCATAAAATATCATAATATTGTTATTTTAATTAGTACATAATTTATTTTTACATATATCATTTATGTAAGTACGTATTATGCTGTTGTCAATGTATAAACTTAATTAAACAAAATATTTGCTTAATGCATTTTTACATATCGTCGGGGATAGTGCAAAACCGCGTAACTAGCATTTTATAATACCGCGTATCTACAGTGCATTTTTTTTACTGGAAAAGTTTAAAACTTTATTTATTTTTTATTTTAACTGATTTTGGGTTCATTTTAGTAAAAAGAGTATTATTCATGTTTTTTGTAATCTCAAAAAATAAATATTTGGTGTTAAAATTAATAATATCCAAATATATAAGCCAATGTTAGTTACGCGGATTTGCACTATCCCCGACGATATATTATATGTAAGAAGGTGTTATCTGGAACAAAGCATATACAGTTGAATATATATATATATATATATATATATATATATATATATATATATATATATATATATATATATATATATATATATATATATATATATATATATATACTATATATATATATATATATATATATATATATATATATATATATATATATATATATATATATATATATATATATATATATATATATATATATATATATATATATATATATATATATATATATATATATATATAATATATATATATATATATATATAATATATATATATATATATATACATATGTGAATATATATAAATATATATATATATATATATATATATATATATATATATATATATATATATATATTTACATATATTATATATGTATATATATGTTATATATATATATATATATATATAAATATATATATATATATATATATATATATAATATATATATTTATATATTATATATATATATATATATATATATATATATATATATATATATATATATATATATATATATATATATATATATATATATATATATATATATATATATATATTATATATATATATATATATATATATATATATATATATATATATATATGTATATATATATTAACATATATACTATATAAATTTATGCAAATATATGTTTATATATATATATATATATATATATATATATATATATATATATATATATATATATATATATATATAATTATTCTTATATACAATTTATTGTAACTTTGATATCAAAGTGGTTATTATTTTGATATCAATCGTATATCAATGATATACGATTTTTTATATTGTTTACGTTGCTCCCCCTCTGCTATATAAGGCGCAGAATTACCAATAAAAGTACCTTTTTTGAGCATCGTAGAAGTGTACTTGAGCATCATTATTTTTCAATAAAATTTGGCAGGTAGTGAGAAAATAGATATATCTACAAGCGCATATAAAAGCAAAGATTTTTTACTCAATTTTAAATTTATTGATAAAAGAAGTTTAGCTCTTAAAAAAACATGAAGTAAATATATATTTTTTCTTAAGGTCTGATGCATCTGGAAGTTGTATGTACAGCTCTGCATCATTATTTTTTGTTGCTGACAATACACTGATTAAGAGTTTTAACATCCCTTGAAATTTATATACATGCTGATTATTACTGTAAGCATCCTTTATTTTCGAAAAATATTTTCTGATTATAGTTCTCATTTTATTAATCTCGAAAGTTTATTGTGTATGTCAGTATCTCATTCTGCATTAGATTCTGGCTTCGAAAATAATGATATTATTAAAGCTGAAGCAATTGCAAACTGTGAGAGCAAATAAAAATGAGCTGGTTTTTTATGTTTGTTAGGTTTATCATCAGTTCTTTCTTGTAATATTGTTTCCTGTTACCCAGATTTCGGTGTTGAAAAGTATAAAATATTTTTTAACCAAGAGATCTCACCACGTACTCCCAATAAATTTTGTTCCCCATTTTACATTTTGTTTTGTTATGATGGGAATTTCAAGTCAGGTACATTTCAGCATAATCACTATGTCCCACTTATTTTTATTCCTAAAAAGCGTAAACTTTTCAGTAAATCAAAAACAATAACTTCGAAAAAATTGCTGCCAGTCTTGTCACCTAATAAATTTCTAGATACAAAACAGACCACCATTGATCAAGTTGCTACAATTGTACCCAGCACAGAAGCTAAAAATCCAAATAAAAAGCCTTACTCTATCCTTACATTCTTTCATAAAACAAACCCAGACTTAGAACCTACTAGTGCAGTCTTACAAAATACATCTTGTATTCTAAAATCAAATAGTTTTTCTTCTCAATTAGCAGTGTCTTCTTCTTAATCCACAACATCTTTTCAATCATTAACATTAAATAAAGGTGTTTCTTTTCACTCAAAAACATCTAAGGACAGTGTTCTATCAAAATCTTTTCTTACAAAATCTTCAAGCATTAGGAAAGTATCTAATTTTTATAATATTAGTAATATTGAATGCCCTTCGAACATTATTTTACCACCTAAAGAAGTACTAAATGCTCTTCAGTCTTTTAGACAATATAATGTTGCTTTCTTTAGACAAAAAGTGGAAATTTTTATCTGACCATGAAATTTTTTTATTAACTAAAAGTATGTTTATTCCCAATGAAGATTACATTTTCCGAAAAAATTCTGGTCGTCAGTTTAGATATCTTTGGTTGAAAGAGTTTTCTTGGCTGAGATATTCTAAAAGTACTGATGGGGCATTTTGTTTATCATGTGTATTATTTGGCAATAAATTCAAACTAAGATCACGTAAGTTAACACATTTGTATTTGGAGCCTTTCAATAAATGGTCTGATGCTATTAGATCATTTTCAAATCATGAGTCAACTAAAAATGGTTTACATGCATTTACTATGCCTATTTTTAATATTTTTTTGAGTCATTCCTCAGGCGTATGTCAACCAATAAATGTCATCATTGATACTAATGTAAAAGAAAAAATAATAAAAAAATCGCCAAACACTTCGTCCAATTGTTGATGCTATAATTTTTTGCGGTCAAACCAATACACCTTTGAGAGGCCACAGAGATGATTCACAATACCTTCCAGAGGCTGGAGAATATTCTAAATGTGGAACTGGTTGTTTTAATAAACTTTTAAATTTTGCTGTACGCTATGGAAATGATGTTTTAGGCTCTCATCTTAATAACTGTTCAAAGAATGCCTCCTATATTTCGAAGACTTCACAAAATGAAATTATTAAATGCTGTGGTGAAGAAATTAGTGAATCTATACCATCTGAAGTTCGCAAAAATGTTTTTTTTTCAATAATTGCAGATGAAGCCTGTGACTCATCTACTGAAGAGCAAATGTCATTAGTTTTACGATTTTTTGATAGTGATTTCAATATCAAAGAAGACTTTATTCAATTTATTCATTGTAGTGAAGGAGTGAAAGGAAAAGATTTGTTTAATGTTCTTTCAAATTGTGTAAGCAACTTAAATCTAGATATAAAAAACTGTAGAGGTCAGGAATATGATGGAGCCAGTTTTGTCTCTGGGTATATAAATGGTCTTTCTGCTCAGGTTCTCAATATAAATTCAAAGGCTTTGTATACACATTGTCATAGCCATCGACTGAACTTATCAGTTTGTGAACCGTGTAATTTCAAATTAGTTTCAGAGGTTTTTAATAAAGTTCGTGAACTTTCTTGTTTTTTTAATTATTCAGAAAATAGACAAAAGTTTTTAGAAGCTAGCATTTTAGAGCAAGAACCTCAAACGCATAAAAAAAAAGTAAAAGATATCTGTAGAACAAGATGGATTGAGCGTATAGATGGTTTAAACACTTTTCTTGAGCATTATTTATCTATTTTCCAAGCTTTATGTAACATGGCTTTCCCTGAGAGTTCTGTTAACAAAGATACACAAAACAAATCTTCTACTTTTTTAAATTCCATTGGCACTTTTCAATTCGTCTTTACTTTAGTTGTGACAACACGTGTCTTTGATTTTACTTTACGTGTTACTTGGTTACTGCAATCAAAAACTATTGATATCTTGGACGGTTTGCACCTTATTACAGTTCTTAAAAATACATTTATTTCCGTCAGAAACAATATAGATAGTTTTCATAATAACTGCTATGAAGCAGCATGTTTGCTTTCAAGTAAAGCTGAAATTTTTGTTTCAAAACCAAGAACCTGTTCTATTCAAAAAAATCGTTCTAATGTTCCATCAGAGTCTGTTTCAGAATACTTCAAAAGAGCTGTTACTATCCCTTTTATAGATCATGTATCTACATATATATATCTACAAGATTTAAATCAGAAACTGTAGCTGCATATAAAGGGTTATCAATTATTCTATTTAATATTATTTCTTTTCTTAAAAGACCCAAAACCCAATTGTGTTGGAGAAAGCAGTTTGAAACATTTTATGATTTTTATATAGATGATTTCCCTAATATCAGTGCCTTGAATGGGGAACTAGTTCTTTGGGAAAAATACTGGGAAAGTTTCTCTGGGACTATTCCTGACAATATATCTTTAACTCTTAAATCGATATCATTTCCTGGATTTGAAAATATTAAGATAGCTTTAAGGATACTTGGGACACTTCCTGTTACTTCATGTGAGTGTGAGAGGAGTTTTTCTGTTATGCGTCACTTAAAAGACTATATGAGAACAACAATGTCAGATGATCGACTTAACGGTTTGGCATTAATGTATATCCATCAAGAAATTGTTTCTTGTATTGATAATGTTATCAATAGATTTACTATAAAAAATAGACGACTTGATTTCAATGATTAGTGTCTATACTGTTTATTTTATAACACACCAACAACTTATGAAATTTTTGTCTATTATCACCTCTCTTCATATAGCAGCTAACAAATAGGCATGAAAACCCCTGGAAAGGCCAAGACTTCAATGGTGTCCTTAACAGGACGGGTTAAATGTAACCCCATACTTTTATTTGGGATTAGCTATATGATTAGTGATCATAGTTCAGGCAAACATTAACCATCTCTTTTTGACAATCTCTTTATATCATTTTCTAGCAACAAAATAAAAAATTAAAAAAATTATTTTCAATAAATTTTCTCTCAATCAACCTAATAATATTCATAAGTTTTTGTGCCGTTTAAATCAGTTTTTTGCTGTAGTTGTCAAAACCATTAGTTTTCTTTTTATTTCATCAAAAATGATCTGCTTTCTTGTTGTTAAAGCTTAACTTGGTATGTCTTTTTTTTTTTAATCTTGTTATATAAGAATATATATAACTTTTTATTTCACGATGTATATAAATCCATTTGTATTTTTGTCTTTTCTTAATTTTTCTTTCTCTGATTGTCCATGTCCGGAATAAATATGTTCCTAGACATGCTGATGAGCCCTGATATTGGGCGAAACAATCATTTGTTAGTTTATATATTTATTACATATTTATATATAAAAAAAGTTTCAAAGTAAAACTAAGATATGAGCTTCTCAATGAAATAGCAAAAAGAAAATCCCTTTAAATCCTCGAGCCTAAGGGCAGGAGGATTTAGGGGATACATAGGGGGCAGGCTATGGGAGCGATGGCCTCCCTTAGATGTTTTTTTTTATAAGAACATTTTGTAAAAACGTAAGTAAATTTGGTAGGCTGTTTAAAAGTGGCATAAAATTGTGTAGTCTAAGTTCTTTTTTTTTGGGCTTGTCTGCTTAAAAATCGTTAAACCTGTAAATCGCCCCCTTTAATCGTTTGGATCAAACGAAAAGAAAAGTTGCCCACCTTTACTACATAGTCCGGATCCGACCTTACTTATTCCCCCCCCCCCCCTTTTTTTTTCTATTTACTTTGTGAGCGTTGTTGCGTCACAACATGGCGTAAGGCGCATTTTTTTGACGGGGTAAATTAAAAACCTGCGTCCGCCCCTGTTGACCAATACTTTAACTTTAATTAACTTTGATCAAACACTTTAGAGATTAGGATTTAAGTTAGATTTTTTAATTAATTGTAAATTGAATATATATATATATATATATATATATATATATATATATATATATATATATATATATATATATATATATATATATATACATATATATATATATATATATATATATATATATATATATATATATATATATATATATATATATATATATATATATTTAATATTACAACTAATTAAAATAATATCGTTTTCAGAGAAAGGAAAATCTTATTTTAATATAAGCTTATCATTTAATTAAAAAAACTTTTTTTATAATCATTTTATCAAAGTGATAATGCTTAATAAAGCTTTGTGATATCCATTTTTGGTAGCATTTTGAAGCGAAATTCCGGCCGGAACCGAAATCTTAAATAATACCGGGACTGGAACCGAAAAATCTTTAAAGAGTTGTGGCCGGATCCGAATTTCGGTCGATCACTATTTTACTTATAACATAATATTTTTTAAGTAAACTTCACATCAACGATATCAAAATAAAAATTAAATATTCTAAAAGATGAAAGTTTTCTCTTAACGTTGAACTGCTGAACGCGTAGGCATATGGCCTTTTCGCACGTAAAATGCGAGCTTGGTAACGCCTCTTAAAAAGGCACAACTATCGAACCGTTACTGAATTTGAGTATTAGTTTAAATTGGTAAGGAAGAATATAAGCTTTATTTTATTTATTTATTATTTATTTATTTATCAATTTGCTACTTTTAATAGCGTAAACCAATGAACTTATCCAATTTTCTCATATCCTGCAAAGTATAGTTTACATTAGCAAGTTTTATAAATAATTTCTATTACCCTGCAAAGTATAGTTTTACATTAGCAATTTTTATAAAACACTTTTTCAAACGTCTGCAAAGCATTGTTTTTACTGTAAACTTTTTCTAATTATATTTTCTAACAAAATTATATAGATCGGCAATTAACTTTAGGCGTGCGTTAGACGTTAACATTGTTTTTTTACCCCGTCACTTGCAGCACTTGACGGGGTTTAAGTCCGCCCCTGTATATATATATATATATATATATATATATATATATATATATATATATATATATATATATATATATATATATATATATATATATATATATATATATATATGTATATATATATATATATATATATATATATATATATATATATATATATATATATATATATATATATATATATATATATATATATATTATATTGTTGTCTTTGGAGTACCCAAGCATTACAAGTTTTATTATATAAAATCATGGCCGTCCAAAAAAGTATGAATAATATAATAGACACATTCGAGATAAAAAATAAGTTTCGAGTGAAAATGTTTTACTTTGCAGACTTAACTCAAACAATTTCATGAAAAGTCCCTTACTAAGAATACGTTTCGCTAGCTTGGTTTATAATGAAACATGTTGATTTTTTCATTAAAGTGTAGAATTAGAATTAAACTATCGAGTTGCAATGAGTATAATCTAATAATGTTTCAAATAAACTATTTAATGTTGATTTATAACCGAATTATTCATAAATAACTGCAGAAAACAATCATAAAAGTCGAAAAATTTTTATAATAAATAACTTTTTGACATGCCACTCTTTTCTAATGTATAATATAGGTTGTAAACATTAACATCGGAAAGTATGTCAATGTAAAACTTCTCCCTCAATGAGCGAAGTAGACAAATATGAGCGTTCTTAACAACATCTCGTGCAACTTAAAATATTTAAAAATTTCAAGTTTGCTTAAATTTTTACTAGCGCAATTCAACTAAAGAGGAGCTAATTTAATCAGATTTGTTGAAAAATATAAAGTTTTATATTTGGAAACTGGTAAAATAAAAGTTTTACTTTTCGTTTTTTTAAAAATCGCGTTTTTTACAAAAGTGTCCTTCCTTAACTTCATCGAATTGGTGACAAATATATGTTTTTGTGCTTTTTCGGGTAAAAGCATAAAATTTGGCCTACATGTTGATTATATCGAAATAATCATTTTAAATAGCTTTCACTGTCTCCATGGTAACCGGATCATGTTTGCAGCGAGAGAAAACAAAATCTCAAAAAACGGTCATTTATGCGTCAATCAAAAGCCCAAATAAAAACACAGCAAAAAATATAAAAACACAATATGTTAAAAATAAATTGGTAACGAGAGGCAAGGCTTTTAAAACTTAAAAATCAGGGGGTAAAAGTTCAATATTTTTGTACTAAATTGTTTTTTAATTTTAATAAAGTATTTTTATGACACAAATAATTTAACTTTAATAAAAATTATAAAATAAGTTTTCAGAATAATACTAATTTAATTTTTTTAACATTTAATAAATAGCTAAAAATACAATGTTAAAGATCAAAATTTACCCCCTAATATTTTAAATAAACTTTAAAAACCCATTAAATTTCAAATTTTTGGTTGAATTTAACGTTCACAATCACCACCACATTTGAAAAGTACGATACATGGAAGTAATGTTTTTACAAATTTACAAAAAAATCTACAGCCTTTCTCTATTTTGCAGCCACATTGTATAAGTTCACTGCACATTTTGGAAGCTTCCGGAATTGTCGTCCAAAATATTGTTTTCCATAACCCAACCCCACTCACATGGATTAGGCAATGATGGATTCTTACATAATGATTGTGCCCACCAATATGAAGCCTGGTAAACAGCTCTAGAGATATGCAGTTGCAAAGCGTCTCGCGTAATGGGCATTGTATCTTGTAAACGTCCTTTTTTTGAAAATAAGTTTTTTCTGCGTTCATTTAAACTGCTGTAAAAACTTGTAAAGTCATATAGCAACACAACAAATCTTTCAATTAAATGGAAAACAATTATGATATCTTTCTTTGAGGGGCAATTGGAAATTGATTGCAAGGCGTTAGTGAGATCTTCAAAATTTCCCCAAGTTTTCCAGGAAAGTTTTTTCCTTTTTTCAGCAAAAATTGAAACTTGATCTCAACCTGTTATTGAATGAAATAGAGGTAAACATTTTTGTTTTGGACCAAGACATTTTACAAGATCGTGCAGTGATATGAAGCATTGATTTTCGCCAGTACCGAACCATATCCATAATTCTTCTAAATGGAGCTTATGAAAAAGTCCTAAACCTAAAATTAGAAAACTATAATCATATTATTTTATAAATTTTTTTTTTTTTTTTACATCAAATATTTTCTGACTTAAAGATAATCTAAAGTATAAATAAAATTTTTTACCCAAGACAACAACATCAGTACCTAGAGTTCTGATCGTGGCTTTTTTAAGTCCACTATTTATAGCAGCGTCATATATGTGAAGAAGTATACGAGTATCCGCTACTTCATGTTTGCAAGTCTCAAGAATGGATTTGTTGATATTTTGGTTAAATACCACTGATTGCTCGTGGGTCACAAGTATCAATCTATCTGTTTGAAGACAAGATACTTGGACTGAAAGGAAGTTAAATAATTCATTTTTGTTCTGGTCGACGCGAAAAAATGACTGCCAATTACTTGGAATTTTTTGATTCGGGCAACACACGACGACGAGTACCTTGTCCTTTTTGACTCTTGCTAATTCTTTAAGGCTGTTTTCTTTGTAAACATCCCGTTCTGCATACGATTGTAACTTTTCTAAAATGAATTTCTGGAATACCTTGGTTGAATATCTTCGAAAGTTTCACAGTTCTTGGGTGATAAAATATTTACAATTACAGCTCCATCAATAATCAAACATTCAACTATGGCTTTATCTTTAGGTGGGCTGTGCAAATCATTGAAAAACGTTAAAACATCTGATTTATTTCCACTGCGTAACAGTCCACCTTTTGAAAGAGACGGTGG